CCCCGCGGCTTCCGCCGCCGCCCCGCGGCTCCCCCATGTTTTCACTTTTAAACATCTTTTCTCTGTTTTGTTTTTTGCTTTTTTTTGAGAGAGAGATTTTTGCTATGGGACATGTGTACTCATTGGAGAGACAGAGAGACAGAAAGCAAGAAATCACCTCCCAGAGGCGATGATCACACCACAGTCCTTTCTCCTCCATTCTCCTTTTGGAATTTTGGGCATGCACGCTTGAACACATGCCTGGTGTGAGTTTTAAGCCATCGGGTCTGGGACTTGAACTGCAGTTGACCACAGGGGAGTTTGGTACCTTAACTACTTTGCCACCTGCTAGCCCCCAATTTTATTTTATTTTTTTCTTTTTCAAGGTCTTATTTCTTTATGCACAGTACAGTACTGTGGTCTTGCAAGAACTCACAGTGTGTAAGGGTGTTCTTTTATTATCTCTTCCTAAGGAGCTATGGTTATATACAATTTTTCCTGTCCTTAACTGGACAAATGATTTCTACCTGCAGATTTTTTTTTTCAGATTACATGGAAATTACAAATTTATTTCATTGGCTATGTTAAGATTATCTTTATTAATTTATGAGGTTGTTCATTGCCTTATTTTTAATCATAATACATTTTTCTGTAGAACCATATCTCTTAATAAAGAATGTCATAGATGATATAATACATTCTTGCAGAATAACTATTGGAAGGATTTTGAATGTTCACAACATAATATAATGTTAAATGTTGAAGGTGGTGAATATGTTTATATCTTTGATTTGTTTATTACACACCATGTACATGCTTTTAAAGAATATTCTGTACCCTACAAAGATGCATAATGATTATATGTAAATCATAAACTATGATACATATTTAAAGAGAAAAGAGGATTAAATTAGGAAAGAATTCATAGTCATCTTAAATTCTTTTATCAAGTTTATTCATTTATCCCTTTCACTACAGAGAGGGAGAAAGAAAGACGACACTCCTTTTTTTTTTTTTTTTGAGAGAGTTTCGCTATAGAGTGTGTGTGCGTGTAGAGAGAGAGAGAGAGAGACAGAAAGCGAGAAATCACTCCCCAGGGGGGATGGCCACGCCGCAGTCCCTTCTCTTCCCTTCTCCTCTCGGGATTTTGGGCACGCACGCACACGCGCCCGGCGTGAGTTTTAAGCCACCGGGTCCGGGACGCGAACCGCGGTCGACTACATGGGAGTCCAGCAACATAACCATTATGCTAACTGCTGGTTCCCAAGACGACACTCTTAAGAGGGTCCTCATGCTGCAGTCCACCTCAGTCTCAGACAGCCTGGATTATAGTCATGCATGTGCATTGGGAGTGCTCAGAGAGGTTCTGGGGTGTGAACCTAGAACCTTTCTCATAGGAGTCCAATGGTGCCACTATCATGACACTGTCTTGCTCCTATAGCCACCTTTAGTCTACCACACCCGTTAAATCTGCTCACATTGTATGTAACCTCTTTGCATAGTTGGCCTGCTCTATCTAACTATGAACTCTCTATCCAAATTTTTAGGAAGAGGCTTCATAGTATTTTCCTGGCTCCTTCTGAGGAGCTCATTCCTGGCTGCTGTTTGAGTTTACCTCCTTTCTGATAGATCTCCCTGGATCACAGTTGGTCTTGCTGATTGAGAAATGAAAATATATCCTCCTTTTAAAATTTCTTATTTGGAGCAATTAGACTGTGTGCATTTCCTTAATCCTTTTTGTATTCCCTTTTCCTGGTTTTCATTTTTCTTTTTTTTAATTTGCCAGATGGCACATGTGCTCACCAGAGAGAGAAAGAGAGAGAAAGATGGAAATCTTGTGAAGGATGCAGGGGAGGAAGTAGAAGCAGGCATGGGAAGCCACATGGCATGTCTCACATCTGAGAAAGAAAAGAAAGAAGAATTGAAAAGAGACTCAGGGGAATCAAGGCATAGTTACCCTTTGGAGGAGTTCCCTGTCCCACAGTCATGCTGTACTCAGTCACTGCTGGGAGTAACTCATTAGAAGTGTGGCTTTGGCAGGAACCTTACAGAAGCCAGAGGGGCAACCCCTGGGGCTCCCAGGCAGCTTTGGCTCCTGTTTCAGGAGCCCTGGCCACCACCATGCAGATGTTGAGAATGCTTGGCCAGGGTGGAAATTCACTCTCCTATTTGGTGAGAGCTCCTAATGAGGTTGGAGTCTTCTTGCCTTGAACCTTCCATTTCTACTAGTCCGGGTAAGGTCCTGCCTACATTAAAGGAGATAGATTTTACTCTGAAACTAGGAAGTCATAATTACAAGGTCAAGGTCCAGCTCCACCCTGGGCTATATGAGTGCTCTTGGCCAGCTCTATGTCTAACTTTCTTCTACCACAAATTGAGGGTTGGATAACATACTTTGGAGGCTCTTCCAACTCTGTAATGTGTTGTGGCATTGCCAGCCTTGATGATCTTGGTGGAACCTTTAATCTCATACCGTTCCACATTTCTTTTGTGGAAAGGATGCTTGCAAGTTTTCTTTGTCAGAGATCTGATCCACTGAGCTGTATCTGAGGTGTAATTGCTGTATATGTGTGTATAGACATTTACATGAAATTATTCTCAGACATAAATGGTCTAATATTAGCAGCTGATTGCAAAAGACACTGGGTTTGAATTGTTTAATGTAATGCTAATTTGCCTCAAGTACAAACACTAATCAGGAACATTAGGTAATTATCATTTAGGTACAGGACCCCAATATATGAAATCTGCATTTTCCTGGGAGCATTAGTATCACATGTATAGCTGCTTACGGTAATGATAGGGAAGGATTCTAAGAAGTATGTTCATTACAGAGATTTATAGTGACAAATCTTGGTTATTAATTTTATCTTTGGTTGAATCTCCTACAAGAGGCATCTCTCATATCTTAAGGAATAATTTTTATATTTAATGTAGTTCAATTAAATATATACTTAATCTTAAGACTGCTATGTGTAGAAGATTAACATTCCATGTGTGAAAAATTCCATGAGTTTGAGTAAAGAAGAAAATGGGAAAGCTGTTTGCCCTCAGCTTAAAACTTCCTTTTTGTTATTTTGAAGATTTAATTTCTTTATATCATGGTTTTATAAGTGGAGAAACTGAGGCCTAGGGGAGTTTATCTCAAAATAATAATTGCTAACAGTTTTATTTTCCTCCCATGTGTCAGGTACATTTAAGAAGTTCTTTCTAAATATATATTGAAAACTTTAAGATATCGGGGCCAGCAGGTGATGTGGAGGTTAAGGTACCGGATCCCACGTAGCTGACTCCATGGTTCAAGTCTTGGACCTGGTGACTTGAAATCATACTGGAAATGTGTGCCCTCGTGCCCAAAGTCATGAGAGGAGACTTGAAGGAGAGGGATAGCGACGTGGCCATGGCCATCCCTCCTGGTGGGTGATTTTAAAAAAAGAAGATACGAGCACAAACACCTTAATAGATAGATACTGTTATTTCTGTTATTTCCATCAATTTACAGATGAGGAAACCGAGGCAAAGACAGGCCAAAGTCCTTGCTCTATAGCACACAGATAGAAATGGCAGAGCCAGAATTGAACCCAGACAGTTTGGCTCCATAATCTGTGTTCTTAACCACATGCACAACATAGTATGTAAAAAGCGAACTGGAACTAGAGTCCAGATATCCTTATTTATTTGTAAATGTCATTTTCATAACACCAGAGTTAATTAAAAACAAATCCATTTTAATGTTTTAAAATAAAGATGGCAACTGAAATCACACAGGTGGCTGCTCAGACTGCCCAGCTCTGGAAGTCCAGTTTCCTGCATGAGGCCTTCCAGGGCAGCTCCCCTCACTATCGTCTCCACATCTCCCAGAAGAAATTCGAGCAACTGGCATTAATTAGCAGGTAGTAATCATTTATAATCAGTGAATCACATGCTTCAAAGCAAATGACTGATTATGAAGTGGTTTCAAGATACATGAAAAGCTTTTCCCCAGAAATAGGCTGAACTCTTCTAGGAATCATTTTCATATCGCATTAGTTGATGAACTCCCATTCGCTTTCCTTTTTGAGTCTCTTTGGGTTCTATGTTTATTCATTCCCAGACCCCTCACCACTAGCCCTAGATCCTTCAGTCTTAATTCGTATGGATTCCTCATTGAGTTATCCACCCTTTGACAGGATTCCCAGTGCTGCTATTTGGGGTTGGCTGTATACACAGTGCAAGTGTCCACTAAGCAGTAAGCTACTGTAGAGTGCTTTTTTTTTTTTTTTGAGAGGTTTTTGCTATAGAGGTGTGCGCTCACCAGAAAGACAGAGAAAGACAGAGACAGAGACAGAAAGTGAGAAATCACCCCTTGTGGGGATGGCCACACCACAATCCCTTCTTCTCCATTCTCCTCTTGGGATCTTGGGCACACACACACACACACACACACACACGACCAGGGTGAATTTAAGCCACTGGGTCTGGGACACGAACCGTGGTCGACTACATGAGAGTCCAGCGACATAGCCATTAGGCCAACTGCTGGTCCCTGTAGAGTGCTTTTTTGACTTACCCACTAAACCCATCACCAAGTTGGAATTTGCCATTGGCTAATAGCTATCCCAAATGAGCAAATTATTTGGTCATAGCTATAACAACTCATTGGTCTTAACTTGATGGGTTGTTTATTTAACTAATGACTTCCATTTAGGTTAGGAGCCAGTAGCACAACAAGATGGTATTTGCTAAACTTATGAATATTGAGAGATGATTTTCTGATGAACTGGAATGAAGCAAATTTGTTGTCGATGCTCCAAGGGTTTGGAATGATCTACTTCTGAAATATGGCTCAGACCTCACCCTGATTCATGTGCTTTCCCAAGCTAGAACCTCATTGTCCCCATTGTCAGATAGTAGATAGTGGACGGGGCAGGAGTATAAATTCCAGAAATGCTAATGGGGTGTGGACCCACTGGTATTTCATCAAGGAAGATGATCACGGAGCGAAGGGAGTGCATAACCAGCAGACTTTGCTCTCTTCTTAGGCACTGGTGAGAAAAATCGATGCCTCAGACAACATCTATACTACCGAGTCCACCACAGGGAACCTGTTCAGCCTGACCCAGGAGGGTGCTCCTTTGTGTCGCATCATAGCCAAGGTGAGCTTCCTGTTTATAGGTCAAAATGGCAGGTCTGGGCAGAGTAAGAGGAAGTCACTTCTCGGGTGGGAACAGCTGGCTCACAAGGTCTGTCTTGGCTTAAGCATTAGCTTGCTATGTGACCTCGGGAGGGTCATGTTACCTCTTGGCATTGCTATCTCCATGTTGAATAGATGGCTAGGTTCATGATTTCCTTTCTCAATTGAGACAAAAAGCTGGTGCTCTCAGAGTCTCTCTCATCTTTCTTAATGTGGCATCTAAGTATCAGCACTCCTTCCCATCTCCACACACACTTCCCTTCTTGGCAGCTGTGGTGTCCCTGGTGTCCACAGGATGCAGCAGTAACTACAGACTCCATCTAGAATGTAGCATTTTAGAAGATAGATTGGCTTGATGTGGCCTCCTGGCATAACAGATGTAAGATATGTAATGTCTCAAACTCAGTTCAAACAAAAATTTCTATCTATAGACATCTCTGTAAGTTAAACCCCATCCAACTTCTTAATCCTGTCACAATTAAAAAAAAAAACCCCTCTATCCTATAATAATTAGAAGTAGTAGTATCAAGAAAAATATGAATGATATATCTGCAAGCATGACCTTCACCTCAAATTCAGAGACATTTGTTTTCAAGGGTTCCATTCAGGACCCTTACCTTCTTTTTATTCTCCCTTGGAGTCTTGTGAACCTCAGTATCTGCCTATAAGCCCTGGAAAAACAGTAAGAGAAGCTGGGCATTCTGTTGTTTTTCCATAAAGGACACTGGTCAGTATTCAACAAGCATCATGAAAACATGGGGCACCAGCAGGTGGTGTAGCTTTTAGTTGACTTGGAAAGTGAACTCGCAGTAAGCCATGTGCCTTCCAGCACTGCACATAAATACACTACAGCCTGCCCCAAAGTGCCTGGGCCTGTAATTCCCATTTTTAAGATGAGGAAACAGAGGTTCAGAAATAGTTCATTCAAGATCACAAACATTAATACAGAGCTGGGATTTTAACCAAGTCTTCTGACTCAAAATATTCATCTCAACCTTCTTGTGTTGCTGGTCCTTGGGAAAGAGGAGAAAGAAAGCAAAGTAGAGAGAAGACAACTATGACTCTCATCTCCTGAGCCTAGATGAAGAGCCTGCTTCCTGCGGCAGGTGCTGGGGTTTCCAATTCTGGCAGCGATGGAGAAGATGGAGCCCCTGACATGCCCTACACAGTATCCTCACCTTCATACTCCATAAATGTTCCCATAATTGATAAATGTAGACTAGCTCCTTTCAGTGCCTTTCCTCATCTGCCTCTTTGGGGTACACTGTAGTCTTTTGGGGGCCTTTCATCTGTCTCAGCTGCCTCCAGGAGAAATCTTGGGCAGCCTGTCTGAGGTGTGGCCTCTTAACCTCTTGGGTTCCTCTGTAGATTGAGAAACAAGTCTAGTCTTCCCTATGATGACAGCATCAAACCTATCCCTTCCCCAATGTAAAACATAGAAATCTCCCCTGTGCTTCATCAAAATGGCCCTGCCCAGCTCCTCTGTTATCCCCTCCACCACCAGCCTATACAGTCCACAAATGATCTCTTCCAACTTTATGACAGCTCATCCCAAGTCTGTCTAAATAATTCATACTGTTGTATTGCTGGGCTCTGAGCCCAGAGCTTTCTATAAAATTAAACAAGCTCCAGCCAGCACTGTGAATCTGCTAGCTCAGGCGATCCCCAGCTCTACTGTGGGGTCAACGCTGCTCGTGGATCTTGAATGGGGGTTCCAGAGTGGTCCGTAAGATGAATCCATCTAACTCCCTTCGTGGCCTCCCTCCACCCCTCTTGTTCACACATTCCAGCCCTTGGGATACCTTTCCTGATGATGTGAGACTCTTCTATCCAGGAAGTCTTCCGTCTCCTGACCCTCACTGCACTGGTTGACACTGGGTACAAGGCCCTTCCACATATGTTAGCTCAATTGCTCCCCTAACAGCTCAGTCATGTAGCTCCCATGATCCCATTTGTAGCCAGAGTTAACCAATCCTGTTGTTAATCAATTCAGCAAAGCCAAGACTTGGACCAGAATCTCCTTAGTCTTGTTCCAGGAATTTCCCCCCTTTCTCTCAGTAGCTAAAAATGCTAAGAAAGCCATTTTTCACAGCCTTGGGAAAGACGTAATGAGAATCCAATGCAAATGTGTGCAGAGGTTTAAATATAGCTGTGCTGGGCTCTGCGCCTCGAGCCCGAGGAACACTGCCACATCCACCCTGGCTCTTGGCCTCATGTTCTTTGGCACCATTTCTTCATTGTCTGCTCCAGATGTACATCTCTAATTTGCCTATCCACCTATCATCTAAATAATACTTGCATAATTTGTATGATTGAATATAAATATATAGAAATATGCATCCATCTGTATATATGTATATTTACACCTGGAGGGACGCTATTAATGACCAATGGGGCTGGTTGGAAAGAACTTAGGACTCCTATTTCTTTTCTTCTTACCTTAAAGAGTAACTTGGTTTTGCTATAGTGACTCTGAGTAAGGTTTTTTTGTGACTCCTCATCAGATGTCCAAGGAACTGTGGGGAGGTAGGAAGGCAGAGGTAAAGGATGTGAAACAAGGAGACAGAGGGTATCGTGTCGCTGCATGCAAGAGCTTATTTTTATTAGAGTAGTGATAAGATCAGGGTGGCTCTATCTTGGCCAACCCTTCCAGGTTCTCTTAGAGGCTCCTATCTATGCTCCCTCAATCCTGCAACCCCGGCCCATGTCCTCACACCTCCACCAGCTTTGTTCCTGCCTGTTCCGCCAGGCCACAAGTTCATTGTGAACTGAGACTGACGAGTCTTGCTCAGTGCCCAGCACAGTGCCTGACATATAGTTTATCACCAATGTTTTCTGAATGTGTAAATGAACTTCCCAGCCCTCAGATAGGCCCCTTTCAAACCTAACTGACTCCTCCAGAGGAAGGAGGAATGTGAAAGTTTGTGGCCACTCTTAGCTGAATATAAAACACCAGAAATGATCAACTCCCTCAGAGTGGGACACCATCATTGTGGTTCCTGCAATGAGCAGAAGCAAAAGTCTTAGATGGAAAAGGGCTCCTGAGCTTCTCTTTTCGGAGAGGAGGGGCAGGAACAAGCTGGGATTGATGATCTCGGTGAGCCTCTGCTGGGCCTTGGTGGTCCTTGCTCCCCTCTTCCAGTTGCTCACTCAGCACCTTTTCCATCATCTTTTGCTGCAGCCCCAGCATGTGGAACAGGGTCTGGTCATAGCAGGTGCTCAGGAGATTTCTTGTTGACAGTGTTCTCAAAAATATGGCAGAAGGTGGTAGTCACATTTTCCCTGTAACATCTAGCTCAGTTTTGGGAGCAGGCATGATGAATAAGTTAGAATCAGTGTTGAGGTTAAAGACAGAGTCCCCTGTGGGACTCAGCTCAGATCACTGGTTCATTCATTCTGTACTGTTGCCACCTTCCGCCCTCAGGGATGGTTGAGCGAGAGAGAATGACCCTCCGACCCTAGCATATATGTTTGCCTTCGCCCTGGCACCCAAGCCTCAGATCGTGTTTAGGGAATCCACTTCCAGCTTGGATTAAGGCTGACGTTGTTCCTGGAGCCAGCATTTCACTGTAACGTACACGTGAAGGCACATGTTTGAGTATGTGTATGTGGGGAAGACGCGAAAGCACGTCTGAGGAGTGAGGGATGCCAGTTATTCTTGAGGCAGCCTAGAAGAGGTCGCATAGGGAGGTATGTGACATTTTCTTTTCTTTGGCAGGAGGGTGGGGTCGTAGCACTCTTCAAGGTCTGCCGGCAGGACAATTTCCGGTGCTTGTATCCCCAGGCGCTCCGCACTCTGGCCTCCATCTGCTGTGTGGAAGAGGGTGTCCACCAGCTGGAGAAGGTAAGGGCAGCTGGCTGGGGGTGGGAGTTGGGGGGTGGCACTGAGGTCTCTAACGGGTGGGGGGTGGGGATAGTGCCCTGGTGGCCATTCATGGAGCAAGTCCTCCAGGCAACATTCAGATAGGCTGCCAGGTCCTTAACTGGGGACTGACCAAGACATGAAAGGAGAGGGTCTAAGTGGCCTGACCAGGAAAGGTTGGCCCAGTGGGGCATCCACCATCTGACAGCCTGGCAGGAGGGAAGCAAGTTGAGTGGAAAGTGGTATTGGAGAGGTTAGGGGTGATTGGTTCTTTTCTCACAGCAGGGCCTCAGCACAAAAGGAGGGGAGTCAGCTCCTTTGGGGCCAGAGCAGGCAAGAGTAGGGTAGGCATTGGTGCCCAGACAAGCCATGGTGCTCCACTCCACCAAGGCCTGGAGGGCCTGGGTAGGGAAACTGAGGCCAAGTCTCAGTGCAAGCCCAGTCTTGTCTGTAGCCATCCACCACCCCCATTCAGGATGTAGCGCTGAGGTTCCTGCTGGACTCAGACCTGAGGGGTCTCAGCCTCTACATGGGCCCTCAGGGCCTTCAACCAGGAGGACTGGGGAGGCCAAAGCTGATATATGGGAATTTCTTGACCAAGTTTCAAGGACGACTACTGAAATTTCTTATGGAAAAAGTAGAAAGGACAGTCTCATGGGTGCAGAGTTTGGGCGAATGCTCTCAGCCTGTCCTGTGAGTTGGTCTGTCTGTGAGTTGGGGCTGGGGTACGCCAACTGCTCCCCTTCTTCTGTGTTCTGCAGTCTGATCCTGGCTTTCCAGATAACCTCTGCCCACCCTCAGTTTCTTGACTTTGGTTTGGTCTCCTAGAAAAATGGTCATTTTACTTCCTACCCTGCCTCTTTCCAAATCTACTCAGATTATGGGGACAGAGATGCTCTTGACTGAGAAAGGAAGGTGAATGGGGAATCTAATTTTACAGATGGCAAGGATGTGGCTCAGAACTGGGAAGTAGTTTGTCTAAGATCACATAGCAAAATAGTAGCAGAGTCAGCACCAGCCCTCTGGAAAGAGCGCCCGTTCCCACTGGCTGGAGCCTTCACATCTGGTTGCCATGAGCGCTGGATGTGGAGGAGAGAGATCCATGCTCCTGCCTTCCTCCTGTGACTCAGTGAGTAAGGAGGCTCCAAGGATGGCAGTGACTTGCTCAAGATCATAGAACTACACAATGAAAGAGCCGGAATCCAAGGTGGATCGGAAGCCACACACTTCCCTCATCCCAGTGCACTCGCTGGTTGTGTGAGCACAGATATGCATATGTATGTGCTCACTTAGATGGCAAAACTGGGGAGCAAGTAAGTGGGGAGAGAGAGCGAGGAGAGAGCAAGAGAGAGAGCACCTCGGTGTAGGAAGTGCCTTGAGCATCTTCAACTTCAGGGGCTGAATAGTTTCTCTTTTCTCCCATAGAACTTCTTCCTTGGTTAGTGGTTAGTGGACACACGGCCAAATGGGGCCTGTTTCTAATCTTCTGTCACATTTGCTTGACAGGAAGAATGAGAAGAGATAATGAGTCTTGGTGTCACTGGGTCTCCAAAAGCAGGGACTTGCTTGGTGTTAGTGAGTTTGCACTGCAGTAGGAAGCGGTCAATTCAGGGGAAAATAAGAACAGGGCTCTTTTGTTTAGAGTTGAAAACCTGTGCAGCGGGCATGACTGGAGGCAATGGTTTCTTCTGATGCTGCTCAAAAGCCAGAAGATATAAATGAACCTCTCCCAGTCCAGATGGGCTGTCTCCAGCCTGAGAGTCAGACCCTGCCTTTCTGAACAAGAAGTAGAGGGACACCCATTGTCTGAGGCTCCTGCACTCCAGGTGCTGAGCTAGCCCATTACCTAGCCCTTCCTTAACACCAGACCCATGTGAGCAAGCACGACCGATAGCTCCATCATCAAACCAGGAGGCAGATGCTCAGAAAGTTTAAGTGACTTAAGTAAAATCACATAGTAAATATTGGAGCCAGAATTTGGGCTCTGTCTGCCTGAATTCAACCTCCAGTCTACTCTCCTACCTCGCTGGTTTAATGGATGCCCTCAGAGCACTGAAAAGTCCCTGTGAATTGAACCCAGAGCACCTTGCCACTGCCGGTCAATGTCTTAACCCCAACCCCTGACTGGCGTAGGGTATGGCAGCCAACCTCAGCACTCTGTGTCCAGGTGCTTATAATACACAGACACTCATGAACTGTCTCCTCTGAAACGTACCCTGAGAAAGGTTCCTGGATGGTCAGAAGCAGCTACATTGCCCAGTAGTTGTGGAGTCAGTAAAGAGACTCCGTATGGATTCTTATTTCAGTTGATACTTGCCTCAAGTTTAAAATCAGATGAAAAACAGCCTCAGAGAAATGACTTCTTACACAGACTCACAACAGTATATGATTTATTCACTTAGCAAACACTTATTGAGTATCTGCCAGGCTCCGTTTTAGGTGCTGGGTGTACAGCTGTGAATAAAACGGACAAGACATTGTCCTCAAGGAACTTAGATTCTAGTTCAAGGGATAGCAAATTATAGTCTATAGTTCAAATTCAGCTTGCTGCCTGCTTTTGTTTGTTTGTTTGTTTGTTTTATTGCCAGAGGGCATGTAGACTCTCTGGAGAGAGAGAGAGAGAAGAGGGAGTAAGTACCCCCGAATGGGGTGTGATCACATCAAAATCCCATCTCCTCTATTTCTCCATCTTGTTAGCATTGAGGGCATGTAGGCACAACCACCTATTTTTTAATTCCTTATTTAATTTTATCTATCATTGTTACTATTTCTTTAAAAATTTTGATACAGGTCACGTGCACTTAGCAGAGAGAGAGGGAAAGTGAGAAAGCAAGGGGGACCAGGCCCAGGACTCAAAACTGTGGTTGGTCACATGGAAGTCTAGCACCTTAATCATCACGCCACCTGCTGGCCCCAAAACACCTGATGTGCTTTAAGCTGCTAGGACAAACTATGCAGTTGGCCATGTGAGATCCAGCTCCCCTAACCACTAGCCAACAGGGCCAGCCCATTGCCTGTTTTCTTACAGCTGATGAACTAAGAAAGTTTTCTATTTTTATTTTTTATTTTTAAATGGCTGGGAAAAATGCACAATCAGAATAACATTTTGTGTTGCATGAAAAATGATGTGAAAGTCTAATTTTGTCCCATAAAGCTGTATCAGGACACAGCTGTGCTCATTTGTTTAGGCTTTCACACTACAACAGCAGAATTGAGGAGTTGCAACAGAGACCGTCCAGCCCTCAAAGCCAAAATTACCAACTCTCTGGCCATCTACAGAAAATGTTTGCCAACTCTTGTTCCCACAGGTTAATGAGGATTCATGAGAACGAAGAAGAGGACAGTTACTAACAGTATCCAATACTTGCTTTGGGCAAGCACATCTCTAAGTCCCTCCTTTCATCGCACCCTTTAATCCTTGCTACAGCCACAGTACATGAATACTATTATCCCCATAGTTACAGAAGAAGGAAGGGAGACTCTGAGAAGGATACACAGCTAATACATGGCCCAGGCAGTCATTAATTCCAGCTTTGCTGGGCCAGTGCCAACCCGTGTTGTTGACCATTATGCAGTCCCAGTATTCAAACTCTGACATTCTGAGGCCACGCTTTTCCTTCACATTCTGCTGTGCCTAGAGTGGTGGAACATTCTAGAGACACCCATGAAGCCCTTCCTCTCCCCACCCTTCGCCTAGGCCCCTGCCCTGGGTCCTGTCCACACCTGCTGATCCAGGCTGTTCAGCTGGTCTCAGGGCTCCGAGGAGGTCTGCAGTTGTCCGCATTCAGGAGGGAAGATGGAGGACCCTACATGGGGCAGGTTGTACACACCACAGAATGACAGGAAGGGGAAGGCGGAGTGGGAAGCAGGGTGTCCTGGGGCTCCCGCCAGCGGCCCACTCACCAGTCTCAGTTCCTGGCCTAATTAGATAATGTCAAAATTCCAGCCACCCCCTTTGGATTTACTGGCCCTGCCTCCTCACTGAGGTTTGCTTAACTAATTGGCAGTGAGAACCGTGCTGGATTTGGTGAAATTCATCCGTGTCCTACAGCTTCCCCCTTCTCTCCCTCAGCCTGGAAGAGGTGCATTAGATCCAGCCCGTCAGCTGGTAGAGATGTGGGCCTAGATGGGTCACTAGACACCTGCTTCCGTTCTGAGCTCTGCTGTGTGGTGCATGAGCCCTGCTGGACTTGGGGATGTGTGTGGTCTTTGGTTTGGTCAGGGTTCATCATCTGCCTCTTCATTCTTGGTCTCTGCCAGTCAGCCAGCCTCGGACTTTGGAACTCATTTCCTCACTTGCTCTCAGGAAGTCCGTCACTGGTTCAGTCCCCAAACCCACTTCTTTGTACTTGTTTGTTGTGAAGCAGCCCAGGGCAGTTGTGAGACAGGGGACCCTGAGAGTCAGGCAGTACTGCATATGAACCCAGATTCTCTACTTAGGAGCTTGGGTGCAACCCTCCAATTTGCTTAGCTTCTCAGAGGCGCAGTACGATGGGCAAAATAGCCCCGACCTCAGAGGACAACAGATGCGCCGTGGTGCAGTGCCCGGCACACGGCAGCCATGACTAAATGATGGATTTGTTTTGTAATTGTGGCAGGTATGGTACTCATCTCTCGGGCGCTGAGAATGCCTGCACTTGGGAAAGCTGCAGGCTGGTGTGCTGGAGCAGGGGTGAGGCGGGTCAGTCGCAGCCACGTGCCGTGTGGGGAAGCGAGGTGGGCTACAGCACGAGGTGGTGTTTCTATTTCATAGATGCAGACTGAGACTCAGCGACTGCATTCCTTCAAGTCATGAAGGAAGAGCTTGGATTTAAAGCCACGTCTAGTTGGCTTCAACCCCTGCTCCTCACTCGTTGTGCCATCTTAGGCAGGTGTGGTTGGAAGTTTCCTGGGAGCCTGACTCTGTTGGCCTAGGTAGGGATTGACATGGGCACCTGCTAAGGAGGACTGGAGGCAGCAAGGTGTCAACACACAGCAAAAGC